TAGCCAGCGGTGGGAGGCCGCCCCGCCATGCCGAGCGGTGCCTTCTGGATGCCAGCTTGGCATAAGTGGCCTGAGCTTCCCGCAGCAGCGATGCGGGGAAGGGCTCGAGGCCCAGGGCTCCAGCAGAGGCTGTGCAGTGGGGCGGCACCCCGCAGTTTGCGCCGGGTGGGGTACAAGGGTGCCGCCTTTCTCTGCAGCAGGAGAACGCAATCCAGACGATGGAGCTTCGGGGCTACTTCTCCCTGTACTGCCTGCACCAGGAGATGCAGCTGGTCCATGTCTATCTGCCCCTCACCTCCCACATTCTCGGCGCCTTTGTCAACTCCCAGATCCAAGGACACAAAGAGGTGGGTCTCCCTGCGCCTGCCCTGGTCTCTGCCATCACCTTTCTGTCTGCAAGTCTGGCACCTTGCGGCTGGCCCTGCAGAATTACGGGAAGGGGAGTGAGCTGAGGGAGGGGTGGTATGGGACCTTTCAACAGGCCTGTTCCAATCTGCTAGCCTCACATGGAGCCTGAATTGCAGCGGTGAAGTTGTCCACACCGTGCTTGGGGGGAGGGGTGGGGCAGTGGGAGACAGTGAAGGAAGTAGTTCTCTCCTGGAGGAATTTCCAAGTCGGGGTTAAGGCTGAGCATCCCCAGAATGGAGAGAAAAGACGGTGGGGAGTCAGCTGGATGAGGCAGGGTTGGTTCTTGAAGCATCTCCAGATGGAGACGGGGAGAGTTGCTGTGCCTGTCCTGAGGCTCGGCAAGCCACCCTGACCCCTTCCTGACCTGCGTGACCCAGGGCCCTGTTGCACTAGCCTGTCTAGGACTCTGCTTCTCAGACGGGGACAGGGGTGTCCCGTCCAGACAGCCTGGAAGGCTCTGTGTCTGGCCAGGGTTCAGGAAACTCATAAATGGTCCCCATGTGGGGCCGCTGCTTTCTGACATTGTGGGTCCTGGGTTCCTTCAACACCTTTCATTAGCGCTGAGAGTGCGGTCACCTGCTCGGGGTCCTTGATACAGTTGGGGAGCTCAGGCCACAGCTTGTAGGGCCGCGTCTCAGCCGCAGTCCTGTGCCTGTGGGAGCTCCATGGCCCTCGTTAGGTCACTGAGCCTCCGTGGCAAGTTTCTGTTCCTGAAAGATGGTGTGTGACTCGCCCCCTCCCAGGATCGGCCTGAGCATCTGGAGAGGGCTGTGCTGGGCCCACAGAGGACCACAGCATCCCTGTCCCTGGGGACCACACTGACAGCGGGGGGGGGGCGGGGCATCCTGACTCCTCAGCCAGCTGGGGAGGAATGGGCTTCTCTCTGGTGGAGGCATGTGCAGCCCGCACGTGGGGTGGGTACAGGTCTGTTTGGACGACAGTGCGTAGCAGGAGCTCAGGCATGCAGTCCATCCATGACACTCGGGGATGACAGCTTGGAGGCCGGGTGAGAGGCTACAAGGTGGAGGTTGGCAGGCCGGCCAGGGGCACTTGTGACCAAGCATCCCAGTGGGCAGCTCAGGCTCTGGTCTAGAACCAGTTATGCCTGAAACTCCCGGAGGGCTTGTACCAGTGGCCTTGGTGATCCACCTCACACCTACTGCCTCAGAACTGCTGGAGACCAGGACTTAGGACCTGTGCTCTGATTGGCGCACAGGGGATGCTGGGCTGGGAGAGCCCAGGCGGGACCCCAGGGGGTCTGTGCTCCACTTGGGTCTGGTGTTGGGACCCGGATCCTCAGTGTCTCTGTTAGAGTCACTTCCTGGCTTCCCAGCCTTGCTGCGTGGAGACTAGACTCTGCTTCTGTGTGTTTTTAGGGCCACACTCTGCTTTTCTGTTGTCACTTGTGTCACATGAGCCCTACTGCCCCCAGTGCTGGCCTCCAACCTCGCTCCTCCCTGCCCTGGGTGCCAGCGCGTGTGTGGTGTGGCACCTCCTACTCCCACGTGCTTCGTCCACTTGAGTTTCTGTAGCCCGAGCGGTCTCAGGGGGCCCCTGCCGCTCCGGGAGGTGCTTGTGAGCTGTCACAGTGGTGGATGCCACCCCATGGCTGTGTTTCTGAGCATTCCGTGTTGAGCATGCTTGTGCCGCTTGGGCCCGTGTGCGGGGCCTGTGGTCTCCTCCGGTTCCAGGCTGTCTGGGGAGGAAGGGGCTGCGAAAAGGGAGGGGAAGGGCCCGTGGTACTGGGGACAGTGACCCGGGCCTCCAGGTGGGTGGTGTCAGGCTTCCGGGGGCTTTGTGGGGACCAACACATGGGAGCGTCACTGGCCTGTGGCCTGTCTCATCCTGTGACGCCCCCTCCTCCTCCTCCTCCTCCTCCAGATGAGCAAGGTGTGGAATGACCTGAAGCCCAAACTAAACTGCCTCTTCGCCGGACCCAGTGGCCCCCTGACTCCGCCGAGGCCCCCGCAGGATGGCGTGTCCCCTCACTAGTGCCACACGCCTGGGGCGGGAGCTCCGGGCGGCCTCACTAAAACCTCTTTCCAAATGGCGTGTTCCTGTTTAATTCCCTTCAGATAGTGGCTGCCCCCAACCCACCGTGGAGTCCCCGGTGTCAGGCTGGCCCCCAGGCCGGGTAGGGCTGGGTTTGGGTGCTCCCCTTGTGGGGAGTGGGGCCGAGGATGTGACCCCAGGTCTCTGAGCGTCCACCGCAGCTGGAGGCCACGGGCATCTTCTCAGCTGGCCCGGGCCCTGCCTGCCCACTGCACCGTGCCTGTGAGCCTGGAGGTCAAGAGTTAAGGCTCCTCGGAGAGGTTTTCTAGGATTCCGGGAGGTCAGCGTGGCAAGGATGGCTTCCACACAGCAGGTGCCTGGGGACATGTGCAGGGGGCACCCCTGAGCTTTGGGGGGTCGGGAGGGTGTGGGGCCGCTGACCAGGGAGAGGGAGGATGGGACCCCTGTGTCAGACACAACGTGGCCATACCTGATGCACCGGTCAGTGAGGGTGGACCATGAACTAAGGCCAGTGGGCAGCCCTGGTGGGTGTGGGTACGGTGGGGCCTCAGGGGTCACTGGGTGCACAGACGGTGTCCATCTCCAGGGGACAGGCCCGGGTCAGTGCCATGGGCCCTGCTCTGGCATGTAGGGTGAAGCGTCCTGTGTCCCTTCCTCACACTGTAACCCTGTCGCATGCCCCGTGTCTGCGGTGTCGGGGACAGAGGTGACATGGTGCTCCTGCTGTCTGGCCCTGTGCAGCACCGGCTGGGTCCTCATGGTTGCCAGCAGGCCCCTCTTTGGCGGCGGCAGCTTGAGTGGAGGCTGGAAGGGCAGAGGAGGGCGGGTGGGGCCGCATTCCAGCGGGGTGGGGGGTGTCCTTCGTGGCTGTGGCTATTTTTAGGAGATGCTCAGAACCTCTCTCCTCACTCCAGGCAGGCCCGGAGGGGATTTGTTCCAGGAACTCTGGGGTCAGTGTGCACCTAGGGCCTCTGAGTGCTTCCTGCTCGGAATCCCTTTTGTGTAAACACCACAGGGGCAGGGTGGCAGGCGCCTTCCTCCCAGACCCGGAGCCCTTTGAGCTCACTGCCTCCTGGCCCTGAGCGGGCTTGGGGAGGTTCTGACTGCACTACAGGATTCCTGAGATTCTCGCATGGGGGGGGTGGGGGAGTGTGCACTCCAGGGGCTTTTTGAGTGTGAAGGTGGTGTGTGTCCCCGTGCGGGGGTGTTCTGCACCCCGGGACAGGTAGGCTTCCCCGAGGAGCTCCTGAACATCACCCCTCAGGGGGAAGTATCTTTTAGGCCCAGCCAGACACCTGCGTCACCCCATGTGTGGGCTCTTCTGTGCGGGGAGAAAGCTAGCTGTACCCCACGCAGCCCAAGGCCCTGGGACTGTGGCATGCGCCTTCCTGTGCTGACAAGGGGCTGTGCACCCCCAGAGCCCATTGGGCCATGCCTGCATTCTGCTCCCGCTCTGGAGAAGTGGGTTCTCTGGCACTGTGGGCAGCTCTGTGCTGCCCACCGGCCCCTGGTGCTGTATACACTTGAGCCATAGGCCTGACCTCCGAGCCTTCTGTTCACCCCTTTTGGCTGCTGCCCACCTGCCGCAGCCTGCCTGTGGGTGGTGAGGGACAGGCAACCACAGGACAGTGGCGAGCTGGGAACACCCAGGGCGGGCCCTGTCACGCACGCAGTTGGGGCTGGGGGCATACGGTGGGCAGCAGCATGGAAGGTGGTGGGCCTGTGTGGGGAGGGTCCCTCAGGGCATGCGGAGGCCCGCCTCTCCCAGGCCAAGAAGGAGAATTCCAGCACCAAAGACTTCACATGTGCTTTCTGAAGAGGACTTTGCCCGACAACTCCGTGTTCCTGGCGGCCTCTCCCCATGGTGGAAGGAGCCAGGAGCCCTCTTGGCTGCAGCTCTGGCCAAGGTTTTCGAGGCTTACCCAGAGGGGCGCTTTCTTGTCTGTCTCCTTCCTCCCCAGCCCCTGCAAGGTCAGCAGATGGGAGCCACTTGCTGGGGATGTGTGATGGGGTCATGTCCTTCCTGTATCTGTTAACGGGACAGCAGAAGCCACCTTCTGTCCCCTACAACCCCTTCCTCTTGGCCCAGGGCTGCTGGGTCCCTAGGCAGTGGTGTCTGGGGAGGGCCAGGCTGCCCGCATCTGGGTTGCGAGTGCAGGGGTGCCCCAGCTCGCCTCTGCAGCCCTGGCCAGGACTGCGGAGGGGATGCCACAGCCTTGCCTCAGCTCCCACGGCCTGCACTGTCCCATCGCCACCAGGACAGAGCCCACCTCCCTGATTCTGCAAGGCTGGAGTGGACCCCAGCCCGGGTGTGTGCCTTTACCATGTCCCTCCAGCCTGGGCCCACGCGCGCTCAGTGGTAACCCGCAGATGCGGCGGTGGGTGCGGGCATACGCGGACTCTGCACAGGCTGAGGTCGGCCTGGTTTTGTCTGCATTCGAGGCCCTTCCTCTTCATGATACGGTTCTGTGTATGGAGCACTTTACAAGGCTGTAGGCATCAGTTACTACACCAATAAACTGGAATTGTTCACAAGTAGTCTGCATTGTGAGATTATTATCAATAAACACATGAACAACCATTATTAAACCCATTTATAAAAGTTGGGTAAAGTGGGTTTTCTGTATAAGCAAGTGCTGCCTCCCTCCTTCTTCATGGTCAGAAATCTGGATGAGAAAGGCCCATCCCTTGGGGTGAGGGAGGTGACAGCTTCTGATGCGGTAGACCAGGGTTTTAGGCCTAGGCCATGACTGTTCCCATTTGCCCTTGAAGGAGGGATGGGGAGCGAGGCCGCTACACCTTCTAGCCTACCCTGGTCCGGACAAGACCTCAGCGCCTGGCCCTCCCTCCTGGCTTGGCATGCGGTCACAGGCAGCCAGCTGGCAGCTTCCCGGGGATGGGCCTGGGCTGGCTGTGTGCAGGCCCTGCGAAGAATGTGGAAAAGGTAAGAGACCTTTATTTTCATCTCCACCCCAACCCACCCAGGAACGCCAGCTCCACCTCGGGGCTCTGTGGGGTGAATGGACGGTGCTGTGGGTTCGCAGTGGATTTCGCGGCCTGTGGGGCCAGAGTGGCTGTGTGTCTATACCGCGTCCACCTCGCGCAGCGTGTAGTCCAGGATTGTGTTGGGGTCCTGGAGCTTGAAATACCCGTGGAATTTCTTGTTCTGAAGCAGGAGGGGAAACCAGTAGCTGTCGTCAGGCCACATGTCATCAAAGGGGATCTGGTCCAGCTGGAACCACTGGGGCCGCATTTCTGTGGTGGTGGGAAGGGGCAGCACGACGTTCAGCCAGGGGCTAACCTGACCTTGAGTAAGGAAGTCCCAGGCAGTGCTTTGTGAGGAGCCCGGCACACTTCTAGTTCGGTCCTCCGGGCCGCGTCCCCTTGTCCCTGCATCCCCGCGTAGGAGGAACGAGGTGCTAGCACAGCGCCTGCCCCTGGGAGATGGAGGGTGGTGGGGAGAAGGAAGGGCCCCCAGACTCACCATCACTCTCCGCGGGCGTTCCCTGGACGCGGTCTGTGCAGAAGACATGCACGTCCATCAGCTCCGGCTGGCCCTCGAACTCGAACACTATCCGGCCCGCCTTGTGAAGCGTGTCCGTGGTCAGACCACACTCCTCCTGTAGCTCCCTGTGGGTGGAGCAGGTGACAGTCACGGAAGGGTGCCAGGAGGGGCGTGCCTGCTGGGCCAGGTAGCTTGAGCCATTCCTGACTTGGTGGGACTTGACAGCTTTTGGGGGCCATATAAAAGCTGATGCTGTTCAGAGTGTCTGGTTCAGGGCGCACAGGCCCACCCACCTCAACACCCTGTGGACCGTGGGGCAGGCAGCCCCTCCTGGCTGCGCTCAGCTCTTCAGGGGTCACGGGAGAGCTGGGGACCTCCCACCTGGTCCTTCAGCTCCTCCTCTTCGCTGGGGGACTGTTGGGGGGGGGGGAGGGCAACAGCCATGGGAGTGCCGCTTTGCGGGCCACAGGAACCCAGGCCCTGACCGGAAGACCTGGCTGGCCTCACACTGGGGCTCAGATCATGCAGGAGCAGACAGGGTTTCCATGCGCACTTTCCTGAGGAGACGCCCCCAGCCCTCCAGCACGCTTCCCTGCAGAGGATGGGGCCTTGGGGCTGGTCTTGCCACATCATTCCCCTGGGGACCGTCCCCACCCAAGCACAGCGTGCCTCTCCACCAGCAGAGCCGGGCGCCCCTATTCCGACGCCGGTGCCTGTTTCAAAGGGTTCCTCAAATGACCTCTTTGCCGTGGACAACCTAGCAAACCCCAGACGGATGGACACGTCACCAGCAAGGCCCCTCACTGCGGTCTGAGTTCTCTTGGGGCCTTCTCCTTCGCATATCCCTTTACACGACTGTGGACGCCTCATGCGCTCGGACCCGCGCTTCTCCTCAGCGCCAGGACGGCCTGCACCTCAAGGAATCAGAGCAGTTTCCTACCCGGTGTGGGTTGGACACGTAATTATTTCCTGTGCCCGAACGAGGCTTCAGAAACCACTCTGCACGTTAAACACACACATTGTGTCCAGACGGTTTGATGTGGGCAGGTGCCTTCCTCGGTGGGGAACCCAGCCTGAGCGCCCAGTGAGGTCCGCGGCATCGCCCTTTTGCTGCTGCCGCACGTGGGGCCCGACTGGAGCTCTGAATGCTGGGATTTGTTCAGTGACGTAGTTAATGAGAATTAGACTTGACCTAAAAACTTGAACGTTTTCACTTGGAGGGGAGCAGATGGCTCCCCAGCTACAGGCACTGGCCCTCACGGCTGCCTTGCCACTGGCAATAGGTCTGGGTTTTAAAAACGTCACCTGGTGATCAAATATTCTGACTAGTTATGGTTCAGCTTTCTGAACACACGGCAGTGCATGAAGTATCCATAACATCCCCTCACGGGCTGCGATAATTTGTGGGACGGTGGCCTCGGTTTTGCTAAAACGCCGGATCATGTGTGTGGCACTCAGCTCCCCAGATGGCAGAGAGCAGGGGGAGTGACATGCCAAGAAGACAGCAGCGGTCAAGCGTCTGCGTAGGTCCTTGGCTCTGTTCCTCTGAGGCGCCCTGGGGCCTTGCTGGAGGCCAGGGATGGGACGCTGCGCAAACCTGAGGGTCCCCAGGCCCCCGAGTGCCTGTCACCTCCCAATCTCCCTCCCAGAGATGCCTGTATCCTTGTCGCTCCCCCAGGGATGACCACGCATGTGTACGTGGCCACCCCAAGCCTGAGGTGGGGAGGGTGTGTTAACCTGGATCTTGACCTGGGCCTGCTTTGGGATCTAGAAGGGCACAAGGGCAGGGCAGTGGGTAACGCATGTGCCAGGCTCAGTGCTGAGGCCACCATGACTCAACTGTGTGTCAGCAGCCTAGGTGGCCTGGGGCTGACGCTGGAGCCATGCCTGCGGCTCAGCGCACCTGCTCCCGAGGCATATCAGGATGCGCCATCTGGCCCCTCTCACCCCACGGGACAGGGCACAGCACTCCTTTGTTAGGGGCTGTCCTGACTACTGGCTCTATCCCAGACACTGGGCTGGCATCCCAGTGCCCCCGGGGAGCGGGTCACTCCTCCAATTGGACCCCAAGACTACAGGAGTCCGTGTGGTGCTGTGCGGCCCACCAGGGGGACTGGATGAAGTCAGGTGGGTGCTGGGTGGCTCTGGTGCTGAACTTCTGCTCTCGGCCTCAGGGAAGGCCTGTCTCTGCCTCAACGAAGGTCTGGAGCATGATGGCCAGGGCCTCTGGCTCGCTGCCACTGAGTGTGGAAAGCATGGACACCGCGTGGCCACGGGGGGATGTCCTTTGGGGGAGCAGGCTGCCCGCAGGGCAGGGTATGCCGTGTGGATGCCAGTGTTAGAAGGAGCTCAGGGCAGTGGGAGGAGCGCCCTCCACAGCCCTGCTGGCTGGATGAGGCCTTCAGAGCGCAAAGAGCCACTGAGTGTCACGAACACCTTCTCTGTGTCCAATAACAACAAATGGTCATCAACTTTCTGAGAGCTTTGTGACCTGCGGTGACATCAAGGCAGAAGAACAAGTTGTAGCCCATGGGACTGACCCGCCGGTGGCTTCTGTGGTCCAGTGGCATCTGGAAGGCAGGCCCAAGGGCCCGGCACAGCATCTGGCCGGCTGTGCTGAGATCCTTGAGTTACCCAGCCGCGGGACGGCTGCGAGAGCCCCCTGTGCAGCACTGGGGACACTGGGACAGGAAACGGAGGTCAGGCTCTGTCAAATCTGCCCTGTGATTATGACGGGACTGAAGCACAGTGGAAAATGGAGTCTCTTCAGTAATGCTGTGTCAGCTGGACGCCTAGACAGATGAATCTCAACCTGCCTTACATCTTACCCCAAACTCCATTCCAGATGAAAATCTAACACTCTGAACGTTCCAGAAGAAAACCTAGGAGAATGTCTTCTTCAGCTTTGGATAAGCAGAGATTCCTTTAAATAAGGATGTAAAAATGCTGCCTATAAAGAGAAACCCATGCACAGGATCCCACTAAAATGAGAGAAAGCCATGTACAGGATCCCACTAAAATGAAACTTCTACTCCTGGAAATGTCATTCTGAATGAAAAGACAAGCCCCCAAGGAGGACACTGCAGCAGAGTGGGTGCGGCCGGGGGGACCCGCGAGCCCCAGGACACTGCAGCTGACTGGGCCTGAGGTCAGAACAGCAAAGAGAACAGAGACGGGGCAGAACAGAATATCGGCTGTGAGACAGCCAGGGTAGGCGTGGCCCACGGGCAACGGGAACACCGACAGGAGAAAAGAGAAAGGAACAGAACGAGTAACTGAACCTGTCCCTTGGAATTTCCCCAATCTTACGACAGACACTGAGCCACAGGTCCCAGGAGCTCCAAGGACGCTAAGCGGGACAGACACCAGAAAACTACTCCTAGGCTCGTTTCCTTCCAAGTGTAAGGAATCAGAAAAAAAGAAAAGATCCTGAGGCCAGAGGGAAAAAAGCGCCTGACCCACAGAGGAACCAGGATGAGAGTTAAATCTGACTCTGCAGAAACAGAGCGAGCAGGGAGAGAGGGAGCGAAGTACTTAGCGTTGAATGAACCTAGAATTCTGTACTCTACTTTCCATCAAGAGGGAAGGAGAAATAAAGATTTTCACAAAGATTGAGGGACTCTATTACCAGCTTCATAATGAATGTGAAAGCGAGTTCTTTGGAGAGAAGAGAAATGATAGATAGAACCTTGATCTGCATGAAGAATGCAAGAGCAGTGAAGGAGTGAGCAAAGGCAAGATAAAACAGTTCTGGTTTTTATTCTCCATTGATTCAAAGGGTAAGAATTTGTTCAAGGTATTGGCGATGATGCATCTGTGTCTGCGTGCCCCGTGTGTTCATGCACACGCTTCTGCACATCCCGTGTGTGTGTGTGCATGTATAAAGTGAACAGCGACCACACAGGAATGGGCATTGGAATCAGGATTGTTGTCATGAGGCCCTCAGACCACCCACGGGGCGGGGGGGGGCAGCATTATTTGAAAGTTCACGGGGCGTATATGCAAGTGTGCACTGCAAACTTTGAGATGCATACTAAAACAGTTAAGTACAGCTGACTTGCTAACAAGGGGAGAAAATGAAATCCTAGAAGTGCTCAGTTGAAGCTGCAAAACGGAGAAAAGGAGTGGAAGACAGAACCAGGAACAGAGAACGAGGGCGACAAACAAAACAGTACCCAATGTGATGGATACTGCCGCCATTCGGAACACGAGTGGTTCATGTGCTCTTCGAAGGATTGTAAGGGTGGATCTGAAGACGAGCCCAGCTGTGGGCTGCCCACACGGAACCCATGATGCATAGAAAGATGAAAAGCTTAAAGTAGATGATGATAAAGATGAAGAAACAGATTAAAAGTAGATGCAGAGAAACACAGCCGGCTAACTCTAGTCAAGGGAAAGCAGGAACATCTCTACGGGTTATACAGCTGACTTCAAAGCAACGAGTGTTGTCAGGAGCAGAGGGGATTGTGCACGGAGGAAGGGGCCACTTCTCCATGACACAGTCCTGAACACGAACACACCGGAGGCCAAAATGAACGGGACGACACGGAGAATCAGAGAAATCCACTGTCCTCGCTGGACACTTGAAGCAGAAAATCAGTAAAGATGTAAAATGTACAAAGAACTGCAAGTCTCTAAGATGGGCAGCCCGACTTCTAAAAAAAAGGGCAAAAGACTTGAGCAGACACGTCACAAAAACAAGACAGCAAGGTAGCCCACAGACACTGTGACACGAGCAGGCACTGGGCTTTTTCAGCCCTTGGACACATTGGTATCATCCCACCTAAAAGGGCTGAAATCACAGAAAACATGGCGCGGTGCTGAGGGTGTGAAGGGAGCGTCCGTGAGCAGGGCCCCTGGGACCTCTGGCAGGTAGCTGCAAAGGCTGGACACCTCTGCCCCCTGCAGGGGAGTGGCCGCCAGAACGGTGCACGTGGCAGTGCCACAGACAACCCGGTGGCCACACACACGGTGTGGACAGAGGTGGCGGCTGGGGCGTGAGCTGAACTGCACAAAGGGGGTGATGTCCGGGGTGGGGGGCAGACACCAGAGGGCGCATCCACGTGGCCACGCTTACGTGACGCTTTAGAACAGGCCAAGTCCTCAACTGTGACAAGAGGCCAGTGTGCAGGTGGCCCTTTCCATCTCTTGGTCCATGTGCTGGCCACACGATGGGCCCATTCTTAAACATTCCCTGGTGAAGATGGGCGCACATGGGCTTCAGGACCAGTGTGTGACTTCTCCAGTCCTGGGCTCACCAAGACTTTGCGGGGGGAGTCAGCTGGGTGACGAGCCAGGAAGAGGGAGATGGGCGACAGCTGGGAGCGGCTGAGGGGCAGCGACTGGAGAAGGGTGAAGGTAGACCACGTGGGGGGGCTCCGTGGGTGAAGCAGGAGGTTCAGTTTACCAGCACTGGGTGCTATTAAAGGGATTCACGGCGTGCCTGGGTGGCTCAGCTGGTGGATTTTGGCTCAGGTCATGATAACACGGTTGTGGGTTCGATCACCAAGTCAGGCTCTGTGTAGAGCGTGGAGCCTATGGGATTCTCTCTCTCCCTGTGCCCCTCCCTCCACTTGTGCTTTCTCTAAAGTAAGTAAAATGAAAACAAGAAATAAGTAAAGGGACTTCACACATGAATGAAAGAGAAAGACCCTGACTCAGTTTCGGTCTCCCGGGCGCCGAGTGGAGAATGGACTGAGGAGGGAAAGGACAGAGCAGGGATCCCAGGTAGGAGGCCTGGGGCAGTCTGGATGTGGAAACAGAGGGAGACAGACCGGGATGGGTGCTAGTTACAGGGGGGACTGCGGTCATGTGCTTCTCATCCTGAGGAAACTCGTTTCCTGCCCAGCCTCAAGCCTGCGCTGCGGGTAGGCCGTCATCACTGAGGCCCTGCGGGATCCGCTCGTTTCTCACGGGCGTCTCATTCGGGAAACGCTAACAGCAAGAGGACAAGAGGGAAAGGTCTTGAGAATTCGGGGGCCTGCAAGTCTCTGGATCACTGGGACGGCAGGGGGCTGAGGCGAAGCCCCCCACGGCCCCTGCCCCACTCCTCTGCACAGCCCTGCCCTTGGCACGTTATTGAGGACTCATTCCTGCCTTCCACTTACATGGACCAGACCAGACGGCAGGTCCTTTGGGAGTTTTCCTTTGTGCCCAGCTCTCTGCCCTTGCTCTTTATTCTGGATGCCCGCCAGACCTGCTCTCTGCACACGTCCCCATGAACCTGGCTGCCGGACTAGACGGGAGCCCCACGGGGCGGCGGTCGGGACCCATCCCCAGTGTCCTGACACTGAGCACGGCTTAGGGTGGGGGGGGGGGGGTGCTGGCTTCTACCAGTTTCTGTCCACGTTCCACGGGAAGGACAGCTCAGGGGACTGGGTCTCAACAGACTGGTCCGTGTCCCCACTGTGTGGTCTCAGGGTAGCCCGGTCATGCTGCCTAGCAGCTGCCCAAGCAAACGACCCCAGGCAGCAGCGACCTGGGTCCCAGGCCTGGGAGGGGGACATGCATGCCAAGGCCATCACACCAGTGGCTGTTCAAACCCAGGGCTTGGCCCAGTCGTGCGCCATGAAGTCAACTTGGTGGACTGTGACCGGCAATTAGAAGGAATGAAGGATAGGAACACTGTTGGTGGAACAACATTAATGCCTACTCTCGTGTGGTGAGAGCATTGTATCAGAACAGAAGCATTTCTCATGTGGGTTGTGATGTTTACAAAACTCCAAACTTGAGAACCATCGAGTGGCAGCTCCTGCAGCTGACTTCCTTTCCAGAAGCCTCATTAGTATGTGAGTGGGGATCTGTTCTCTTCCCTGGGGGAGAATGGCCTTAATTAAGGTTGCCAACTTCCTTCAGCATGCCGGCAGTAGTAGCAAAGGTCTGTGTAGCCCTTTGTGATGTTTGCACACACAATCTCATTTTATCCACACGTGACGACAAAGAGGGGCGGAGGGATTGATGTTGGAGAGCTGTGTGATCTCAGACAAGCTGTTGACCTCTCTGGGCTCTGGTTCCTGCCTGTGTGAGGCAGCCTGTGCTGAGCACTAATGGTGACTGTGTGTGTAAAAAGGCTCAGACGGGAGCACTGGTCATCAGCTCCCTGAACTCATGAGGAAAGCAAGTGACTGATCAGCCAGAAGTCACCGCGGCACAGTGGGTTCCCAAATGCATCCTTAAAGCCACTCCCCGCGCCCCCAGGCAACAGCTCACATGCCCTCGGCACTCACCACTGCTCCAAGTCCTTTATGGTCGCGTCCTCACTTAATCTCTACACTCCTTCCAGGCAGGAACTGTTACTATTATTCCCATTTTTTTTGGATGAAGAAACTGAGGCCCAAGGGCTCTCTAACATGCTCCAGGCTTCCTCTTGGGAGCTGGTTCTGTGGGCGGGCCTACCCCTCCCTCACCTCTTGGCCCCATCCTCGATGCTCTCTCCTTCCTGAACTTTGCCCCCGAAGCCATTCCATCGGCCAGCCCCGAAGCCTCGTTTCTTCATGCCCAGGAGAACTCTCGGAGGCTGCAGCACTAGTACCAACGTGTAGAGCGTGGAGGTGCCCATGGTCCCCTGGGAGCCCCTAGAGGGAGGCAAGAAAGCTGAGTCAGCCTGGCCTGGGTGCAGATGGGAGGTGGATGGAGGCCGGGGGCCCGGTGAGATTGGAACGTGCTGGGGAAGGCACACGGGAATCTCCCAGCCCCGCCATGTGAGGCCTGCCTCATGCTGGATTGAAACCTGCCACTGGACAATCGAGCTTCTGGGACGGAAAGAGGCCTGGCCCTCCGAAACCAATGGCCTGAATCAAGGCCTTTGGATTGCCAGGGCTGTGGAGCAGGCTAGGAAAGGGCCCCTTCCCCTCCTCAGCACATGGCCGTTCTTGCCTGTGTCCACCCCCTGTGCCCCACTGGCCACAACATAACCATGCAGGTTAGCTGATGGTTCTCGGGTCAGGCTTTTGGCCTTGGCCTTTTCATCAGTGGGGCCTTCTTTGGGCCTACTGGGATCTGCCTTCTGCACTTGAGCAGCAGCAGACCTACAGAGTCCTGAGGAGCTCCTGGCTCCTGCCCCTGGCAGTGGAGAGCCTGCCCAGCAACGGCCAGCGGGTCCTCCCTCCACATCGGCTCACAGCTGTCGCTGCTCTGGGCTCTGGCACTGCAGCCACAAGGGCTCCTCCTGCTCGAACAGGTATGCATGGTCCAGAGAAAAACTCCAAGGGTGATGTCTGGGTGGCTGCTGGAGACATGGACCGAATCCTCCATGCATCCATCCCTGTCCCAGCCTGGGGCCACTAGACACAAGTTTCCTACCCTGGGGACCACACTGGGTAAGAGGCAGGATCCAGGAGCAGGAATCCTTGTGGGAGGTCACAGTGTCTGAGCAAAGGGACCTCCAGCTGGGGCCTGGTGTTGGGGGAGGTCCAGCAGAAGCGGGTCTCTGTGGCGGGGCCTCCCTGTCTGCCTTGTCGTAATGCTGACCAGTTCATGCCCAAGGCCCTGGCTTCCTGAAGGAACTGTGATGCTGAGGAGGATGCCAGGAATGTCAGCTATCACTTATTAAGCACTGATTATATGCCTCTTTTAAAAAATCATTCTATTTAACAGACTCAAGAACTCTGTGAACTAAGACTTTCTCCATTTTCAGATCAAGAAACAAACTCAAAGAGGCTCAGGTTGACCCAGGGTCAAAGAGCAAAGCCAGTACCCCAGTCTGGGTCTTCCGGGCTTTTGAAGTTGAGTTGTCCCCCAGGTCATGGAGCAAGCAGCTTGGGACCGCAATTTGAGGATCCCCAGAGAGCCCTCCGAACGTCAGGGGCTGGGAGGCTGCAACAGGCCTGGGCATGTGGTCCCCGAGGCAAGTGGTCGGTAAACCGAGGTTCCTCACCAGAGTTTTAAGAGATCATACCCAGGGAACACCAGGCTCAGAGCCTGGTCCCGGATCCCTCTCCTCCGACCCTTGCTTACCTGGACCCCCGCTCCCCTCTCCCCCATCCCTGGCTTCCCCCTCCCCAAACCCGTCCCCGGTCCCCCGCTCACAGGACCCGGGCTCTGCTCCCCGGCCCCCTCCCCTCTACCGGCTCCCCTGCTCACCAGACGCAGATCCCTCTCCCGGGCTCCTCTGTCCCCGCTCCTCAGGTCCGGGATCCACGAGCACTTTCGGAATCCCGGAGCCGCTTCCGGGGGAGTGGCCTTGGGCCGGAAGCGAGACCGGCACTTCCGGCGCGGGGAACTGGAGCGGATAGGCGCCCATGGCTGGGTGAGTGGAGCTGTCAGCGAGGCGCTGGGCAACGTCGTGCGCCCAGTCAGGATTAGTGGAGCGCCTGCTGCATGCGTGCGGGAGAAGGAGGGGCCAGGGACGCGTCCCAGGTTTCATCTGCGGAAAAGGGGCGCAGAGACGCGGTCGTTCCCGGTGAAGCGACTTGGGGAGGACTTCTGACCCCAAGCCAGGAGTCCGGATGGCTTCCGAGGAGCGGCGGGTGGGCGGAGAGCGTGGAGGGCTACGGAGGGCGCGGGGCGCAGCTGAGGGGAAGCTGAAGGTGGAGGCCGGGGAGGGCGCAGGTCAGAGGCGCTGCGGGGAGAGGGCTGCGGAAGGAGCAGGTGAGGGGGAGCTGCAGGTGGAGGCAGCGGAGGGAGCAGGTGAGGTGCGCTGCGGGAGAGGTGAAGCTGGGAAGCGGTGAAGCTGGGGAAGCGTGCTGCAGGCCTGAGGGCCGTGGCACAGGACCTGAGAGGCACCAGTGGCCAGTGTGGCTGAACTGAAGACCGGGGACGGTGCTGGAGGTCGGCTGCTCAAATCTGGACCACAGGGCATGTGTGACTCTGCTTTCCGGCTTTCCCCCAACCGTCCGGGTTGGTTCTGGTGCCGGGCATGGCTCTGTGCTCCTCTTGGTTCCAAGAGACCACTGGGCTTTGGGAAGGCAGCGATCACCAGTTACTGTGTCCAGATAGAGACAGCATGCTTGAAGCATGCATGGGTTGTTGAAGGAAGGGGCTTTGGCCTGGAGCCGTGAGGAAGATGGTCGGTTGTTTCCTGGAGAAACACGGATGCAGGACTTACTTTGTAGGGTTGTTCTGTAGGGTTTTTCTGAGAGTTAAGTGGGAGGAGGGGTATGGGGAGCTCTTGGCAGTCCGTAAACCCTTAAGAATCTAATTTTGCCAAAGAGACTTGGAAATCGACCTTCACGTTGAGCACAGTTGCATTAGATGTGACTGGTGGCCCCATGTTGGCCGCTGCAGCCATGGCGCCAAGGAAGGCAGGGTCTGTCCTGGGCGGCCTCTTTCGCAGTTCCTCAGGGCCCCAGGAAAAGTTTGGACCGTTGGGCCACTGTAAGAAAGCCTGCAGGCCAGACGCTTAAACCATACCAATCCAGGCCGAGGTGGCAGACCCAGATCAAGGTGCTGCAGGGTTGTTTCTCGGGGGCCTCTGTCCTGGACCTGCACACGGCTGCCTTCTTCCCGTGTCCTCACGTGGTCTTTCCTCGCACTTGTCTCTGAAGCTTCTCTGAGGAGACACCGGTCATGTCGGTGCTCAGTGCACCCCATTATACCTGCTTTCTGGTTGTGTCACCTTGTCAGTTCTTCTCCTCATCTGGGCCTCCAGGCCCTTCTCTAAAAGTACGTGGGTTGAACCAGGGGTCCCCCCTATCTGTGTGATGCCATCCTGTTTGCTCCCTTCTCCCCCATCAGGTCCTTGAAGCTGGTGTGTGCGTCAGTTCGGTGGCAAAGATTTCACACCACTGCGAGTCGCCACAAGGGCCAGACCGCTGCTGAGCACCTATGGCTGACGCGTCATCTGAGGGACCCATTTGTGAAGGCCGCGAAGGTGGAGAATTACCGGTGCCGAAGTGCCTTCAAGCTCCTGGAGGTGGATGAGAGGCACCAGATCCTGTGGCCTGGCCAGCGCGTGTTAGACTGCGGAGCGGCTCCTGGGGCGTGGAGCCAGGTGGCCGTACGGCGGGTCAATGCTGCGGGCAAAGGTAGGCCTCCTACCACCGTGGGTCCGCGGGCGTGGGCCAGCTGCCTCCACCTGTGACAACAGGCTGTTCTGAGCCCCTTGTCTGAGAGTGATGAGGAGATCGGGACCTGACGTGTTCACAGTGAGAGGCCAGGTGGAAAGCTATGACAGCGACTAGAAGTCCCTCGGATCGTACCGCATCCGCATCCACATTAATATGGTGGGGCGCCCCCTTACAGAATTCGGTTTTGCACACATAACTACATAGGTATGTTTTCTTTTTTGAAAATGATAGTAAACCACATTTTTCTTACTGATTAGGAGCCTTAATGGAGCTATTTGTTTGTTTCTTTGTTTTTTCACTTAGTGACCTAATGAAATGTTTCCATGACCCCAGAGGTTTCCAGGGCCTGGTCCGTGAAGCCTTGGGTCTCCTGGAGGTCCCGCTGGGGCTACTCAGGGGAGCACTCGAGGCTGGGGCTCTGGGTTCTCCCCTCTGGCTCAACCTGAGGGACTCAGCTTTTACCTGTCTAACATTTTAGGATTTCATCAAAAAAAAAAAAAAAAAAAAAGGGGGTATCTTTGTGAGAAGGTTCCCTTGATCAGTCAACAGACACCAATGCCCTCGGTGTAGAAAGCCATGGCGTCCTCATAAACGCCGTGTGCTCTCTATGTGCTGATGCCTTGCTGCGGAGCCAGCCTCCTGCTGGGCACTGGCATTGCTCCCGGGGCCTCTGTCAGTAAGCACAACGCTGCAGTGGGCCTCCTCTCCTCTGTGCTTCGTGCCGTGAGGTCGGAGGAGACTACAGTTGCTGGTGTTATGTGACAGATGTGACAGCTTACGGAAATCTCAGACGCCTAGAGTGCGGACCACAGGCCCATTTTCCTAGTGAAGAATGAGGTTTGGCGGAGTTTGATGGGCCTCTGAATGTGTGGACTAGGCGTGCTGTTCCTGGGTTCAAGTCTAAGAACCAGCCTCGTTATCATGTGTGGGATGCCGCCAGGGGCTCTAGAACAGATTAAAATTTTTTTTAGCTCAATAAATATTGCCTAAGTGAAGGGCTTTGTGTCTGAAACCTCAGTTCCTTTTCCCACCACTGAGCCTGAGCTTGTCCCTGGACCTAACAACTGATCTTCCTGGTTCCTGTCCCCATGGAATTGCTCCTCAGGGGAAGGAGGAGAGTGGCCAAGTTTGCCTTGTAGGAAGCAGTGGCTGAAGCCATGGGTGTAGAGAGAATGAAGTTGCATAAATGCACCCAAAGCCATTTGCTTCTAGTGGCCCTTTTCCGAGGTTATGACAGCTGGGATGGATGTTAACGAGAGTCAGGTGCTTAAAATGAGGTGTGAAAGTCCTACTTTCCAGGGGTGAAAATGGAGTTTTCTCCTTTGAAAAATGCATTGTGCAAATCCCTGGACTCAGTGCTTATATAGAAGTAAGCAGTCTGTACTGGCAGATCGGTGACTGCACGCTTACCTCATTCCCCCGGGGGACATGGGAGAGCAGGGCCCTCCTCGGTGTGTTGGAGGGGTTGCAGGGAGGGACACGGGGCTGCGAGGAGGGACAGCAGTCCCGCTGGCCTGAGGGCCTGTTCCAGGTCAGGTGAAACGATGGCATCTTCACTGCACAGCCGGTGCCGCTCACACCTGGGCAAGGGATCGCTTTCTGTGCCTTGTCTTCCCGTTTCTCGGCTTGCTTCTCATAGTTTCTGCAACGAAAGACATTGGATTAAGCTAACAATGTGTTGATTTAGTCTGGAGGTCCTGTATGCACTGGTGTGTCATTTTCTGTTTTCACTTTGTCAAAAAGCCCACTCGGAAGGCACTCTTTTGCCGAGAGCAGGCCTCGGGAAATGAGGTGAAGTCAGAGTTGGGGTCGGGTGCCTGCCCCGGGACCCCTGCTCTGGGAGAGGCACTTCTCTGGGCCTCCGTTTCTTGTGTGGAGAGTGGGGACTGTCACCCCCTGCCATATGTTTGTATGGGACGGACACAAGTGGGGAAGGGCCCCTTGTCCACATCTTGGCATGTTCACTCTTCCCTTGGTCCTCACTTTGTACTTCTATTTTTCTATTTGTGTTTCTGAGGGGAGATTGAGGCTGTAAATAAGTAACCTACTCTGTCTTCTTAGATCCTGGTGCTCCTGTGGGCTTTGTGCTCGGGGTAGACCTTCGTCACATACTCCCCCTGGAGGGGGCAACTTTTCTGTGCCCTGCTGACGTGACTGACCCGAGAACCATCCAGAGAGTCCGCGAGCTGCTTCCTGGTGGGAGAGCAGACATGATTCTGAGTGACATGGCGCCCAACGCCACGGGGATCCGGAGCCTGGATCATGACAGGCTCATTAGCCTGTGCTTGTCCCTCCTAGACGTGGCTGCTGATGTCCTGCACCCCGGTGGAACGTTCCTCTGCAAAACGTGGGCTGGGAGTCACAGCCTTGGGTTACAGAAGAGACTGGCAGAGCAGTTCCAGAACACCAGGACCGTGAAGCCTAGAGCCAGCAGGAAGGAGTCCTCGGAGGTGTACCTCTTGGCCACACAGTACCAGAGAGCCAAGTAGCCTGTGGAGGACTGAGGGCTGCTTCCACCATTTGTGGCCCTTGTTCCCGGCAAGTGTGGTCTGAGCTCTTTCCCGGAGTGTGGCTGGAGGGGTCAGAGCTTGATCCTGGATTTGGCCGGCAGGAGAGGGTGGGATCTTTCTTATAAACCACGAGTATATTTGCTGGCCATGATATATGGTAAAAAACAGTCTCTACAACGTGATTTCATCTTAGGCCAACATGAAGGATGAAAAGACAGAGGAAGGAGAAACCAGCACAGGGGGGCACCTTGATGTAATTCCCGGTTTCTGGGCTGTTAGCATGTAACAGAGAAAGTTTCTACCATTGCTCCCAGAAGGCCACACCGAGGCTGTGGTTATACAGTGTAGCGAATGAAAATCTGAAATTTTGACCTGAGGATTGTTTCCATCTCTGGTGAATGATGTGGAAATTAACCCCTTCAAGCAGCTGGAGTTCCCCAGGGGAAATTAGGGACGAATTTTCCCGTGAACTATGCAGGGGTGGCCTTTGTTTTGTTGCTGGAAACCCACCTTGCTGTAGAACGCAAGGACCCTAAGACTGGTAATACCAGAAGCAAGCGGCCCTGTGGCATGTCTTCCAGGAACTTTTTGCAGCTTTTATACAACAACTAGAACAACAGACGTATTTATTTCAGGGATGTCCATGCTTTGAAGTTCATTGTTATAAAAATTGGTTTCTTCAAATCCATTTCCCATTAAAAAAAATTTAAACAGGAGTACCTGGGTGGCTCAGTCTGTTAAGCTTTGGACTTTGGCTCAGGTCATGATATCACAGCTTGTACGAGTTGGAGCTGGGAGTTGGCTCTGTGCTGACAGCTCAGAGCCTGGAGCCTGCTTCAGATTCTGTGTCTCCCTCTCTCTCTCTCTCTGTCCCTCCCCTGCTGTGCTCTCTCCCTCTCAACACAAAACAAAACAAAACAAAACAACACCAAAAAACACACCAAAACCCCTAACATTAAAAACAAAGCCATTTCCTGCAGGTGGGCTTATCCCTCAGTAAGTGTGTATGGACTGTAACCCTGATTAAGTCCCAAGGGTGGGGTTGGGGGAGAGCTGGAATAGATAGCAATCCCCACAGTCTCCATCAGGCCCCCAGGGCGCAGTCCCCGCTCTGAAGTGGGCTACAGGCCCGGTTTAACCTTTTTTCATTTTACTTTTGGTTGTAGTCAATTAGGACTGGTGACTCCTCCTTCCCAAAGCTCCTCCATCCCATTTCATGCTTGGGGTGCTGTGCAGAGGTGGGGGGATGGTGGAGGTGGTGCAGACCTTTTGGGCACGGTGCCGACCCTGGGGGGTGTGGTGTAGACCCAAGGGGTGCAGTGTAGACCCTGGAGAACGGAGTGTAGATTCTCAGGGTGCGATGCAGATACTTGGGGCGCGGTGCAAACCCTAGGGCGCTCAGTCCCAGGTGGGATGGGTGCCAGGAGGAGGAGATTCATGGGTGAAGCAGACCTGTGTTACTGGACGAGGATCGCTGGCTATGGGAGTTCACCAGGCACTGGGAGGGTAGCCTGGTAACAGTATTTTGTTTTTCCAGTGGACCTAGTGGAAACGAAAACGTATTCAAGCCAACACTATAGCAAAATTTTGGGAGCTGTCAGAGCCAGCAAGTTTGTCCCCAAGGGGCCACCGTTGGGCCGTGCTATTCCACACAATACGGTGAGAGGCCACCGCCACAGTGGAGGCCCGTTCCGCGGGGGAAGGAGGGCACCCAACAGTCCCGCTGGTCAGCTTTCGGTGCGAGTCCTCCCAGCGCGGTCTCCAGGGAGCACACCCCACTGGGGAGCAGGCGGAGGCCCGCGCCCCCCCCCCCGGTGCTCGGACTCTGGGATTTACGGCCGGCCCTGCCCAGTTCTCGCGAGAACGCGGCAGAACATCTCGCGATACGCGAGCGCGGGCGCAGAGGAGGGAGATCTGAGCGGCCGCTGCGAGCTGCCGGTTAGCTGAGGTGAGCGGCGGGGCGTCAGGGTCCCAGGTGGGTGTTGGGCGGGGTCGGGGGACCAGACTGGGAGCGGGTGCCGCCCCATCCCGCTACCCACCGGTCTCCTTCCTCCTGCCCCCTTCCCACGCTGGGTCTTCGGGGCCCGGCCGGGGTGCTAGCGGAGGCCGGGGTCCTAGGAGCGGAGGACGAGAGCGCGAGTCGGCTGGGGGGTCCTCGGAGAGGGACGTCCTCGGTAGGACCCCGGGTCCTGGGAGTGGGGCTAGGGTCGGAGTTGGGGTCCTCGGATCCGGGATGCGACCTGGGACCGGGGTGCTCGGAGAGGTCGGCGTCCTCGGGGTCCTGGGAGCTGGGGCCGGGGTCGGAGCTGGGGTTTTCGGAGCCGAGATGCGAGCCGGGGCCTGGGTCCTAGGAGCTGAGGCTGGGGTGCTAGCCGGGGCCGGGGTCCTCAAAGCCGGGACGCGAGCGAGTCAGTAGTCCCGGCCGAGGTCCCTGGCGGTGGTGGCTAGGATCGCGGCTTACGCCCACCCAGTGTCTGGCGGGGAAGCGGCCCAGCCCGCGCGCTGTCACCCGCGCCTCATCGGGGAGTGGAGCGGCTGCAGCCTGGGACACCGCGTAGAGCTGGGGGTGGGGTGGAGGTGGGGGAGGCGAGGCACGTGTGCCTGGAGTTTGCTCGGGAGGGGGACTCCCTCTCCCCGTGTGAGGTGTCCTGGCCGAGAAGGGCAGCTGACAGGCGGCGCCAGAGCACCCCCGGCCTGGGGTTGTGATTTCCCAGCACTTTGGTTTCCGTGGTTGGTTTGCTGAAGATCAGAGTCTCTTGGGTAAAGGGGAAGGAGTTGGAGCTGCTGCCTGATCCTGTGCCTCCTGTAGTGGCCCGGTTCCAGGCAGTTGAAAACGCGTGTGTTCTCTCCGTTCCATTGGGTCCCAGGCATCGGTTCTTGCAGGGGATGGCCTCCCAGAACAGGGCACACTGGATGGAGAGTATCGCCCCGGGCTGACCTTGGCAAACAATAAGGGTTTGCTTCCAGAGCAGAGCTGGGCTGTCTCCCGTGGCGGTGGCTTAGGTACTGAGTGCTTGTCCAGTTCTTCCAGTCCCCTCTCCACTGCCAGTGCGATTAAGAGCTGGCGGGGACAGCTGTGTTGTCCAGGGGCAGACACATGGCCTGCAGAGGAGAAGGGCTCTGTGTGCAGGAAACTCACAACCAAACTAATCCCTCACTCTCCTCCTCCGGGGTGTTGGTGGGGAGGCATTCTCAATCTGGTACTTGGGGGAAGTCGGTATGAGCCAGCTTGTTTCCTGAGGGGGGACACGGTATGTGCCCGCAGGAACCCACGTCTCTGCTTGTTAACTGTGCCCGCTGGCTGGCTGGCGGGGGGCCGGGTGAAGCCACAGTGGGTTCAGGCTCGGGGAGGTGGTTCCTGGGCTGCTGTTCGCGTTCCCGTGTTGGCTGGTGGGGCACACTGAGGCTGAGAGCCTGGGGTCCCTCCATCCTGTAACTTCCGAAGCCTCACTTTGACCACGTCTGACGTGAGGGTCCAAAGACCTGAATCGCCCGTCGTGAAGCCTGAGGTGTCCTGTGAAACATTACAGGCTGAGTGGGGAGTTGGCCTCACTCACACCCCTGCCACCTGGAAACGAGGACGGGCACTGTAATCCTCATGGCAGCTTTGCAAAGTGGTTTTCGTGGTCCTCAAGGTACAGATGAGAAAACTGAGGCTTGAGAAGTCTCAGTGCTCCGTGTCACGCACGTTTCTTTTTAGTTGAAACTAGTAATGCTGGTTAACGTCGCTGTTAATGTGTGATTATGGTTAGCATCGCTGGGGTCACCGTCCATTGCCACTGCCGTGGGCTTTATGCCTCGGTCCCAGAGACCAGGTCTCTTGTGTTGATGGGGGACATGTGCCCTGGGACTGCTGCACCTGTGTTTCTGGGAGCCGTCTGTCCACTGGTGTGCAGGGCAGCACTGTGATGGCTGCTTTGTGGCGTGCTGTCTTATGCCTCTATTTCTTCTCTGGTAAAGTGGCAGCGTGGGCTCTCAGCCCCAAAATGTGGTTATGGATCCTGGAGCACTGTAAGGACTCTGGGAGCACGTCGGGAGGGTGGAGCTGCCCCGAGGCACCCCCTAACCGCCACCTGTGCAGCTAATGGTGCCTGCAGAGGCTCACCGTGGGGCTCCCTGTCTTCCTCCAGCAGCGAAGAGGCCATGGACGACCTGGGGGAAAACACCACTGTGCTGTCCACCCTGAGGTCTTTTAACAACTTCATTTCTCAGCGGGTGGAGGCAGGATCTGGACTGGATGCTTCTAACTCCGTGCAGGGTTCTCTGCAGATGCAGTACCAGCAGAGCATGCAGGTGAGCGCCGGGGGCAGGAGGGGCTCTGGGTGGGAAGACACATGCCGGTAGGTGGGGCCTGTTCCCTTCCCGGTGGTGTGGTGCTGACGAGTTCCTGGTGTTGGTGTGAGATTGGGTGTGTGGTGGTCTCAGACCATGGGGTCCGTGTGGAGATCTTGGCCTCGCTCTGCCATGATGTGGCTTTTACAGTCTTGCTATAAAAATAGTTCTCTTTCCTTTATTTCACGTTCTTGGCAGTGCTTATTGTGGACTTTGTAAAGGGGTCGGGTCTCCTGGAGGACTTGCGGTTGCACAGAGTTGCAGGGTCAGTCTCCTGGAGGCCAGGGTCACAAGGTCCTCACAGGGAAGGGGTGGTATCTGCGACCCGGCCCCGGCCCCTCTGCATGGATGGCATCGGCAAGTCCCCCTCTGCTGTGCAGCCAGAGCCATTTTAGTGTAACAGCCCCTGACGGAGCCCCTGGCAGCATGTGGCCAAACAGATGCTGGCGTGTTGGTGTGCATTCATTTGCTGACTAACTGAATGATTTCTCTTTGCTTGTGGGCTGAGGTGCTGCTCACTGCCATGTTTTGGCAAGGACTGTTTTTTATTCTGAATTTGAGTTTTTTATATTTGTTTTTGGTGTAAAAGCATTTTTTGGAAATGAGGGTAATAATTGTAGTTTTTTTTCCCCTTATTTTTATTCTTGTTCACTGGCAAAATAAGAAGTTGGCAACTTTGTTCTAAAAAAGGGTTACAATTTTGTTGATGCAAATGTCTGGGAACTTTGGGCCAACCTGTCGGAAGCACAGAATCTAGAATGTCAGAGGCCAGCTTCTCACTAACCTAGTGCTGTTGAGGGCTTCCTCAGTTTGGGGGGCCCTGTGGGCGGGGGCCATGACCAGAGCAAGCTGGGTAGGGTCTTGTGGGTGCGGGACCTGCCCGGGCCCTGACCTGGTGCTGAGCAGGCCCAGGACATCTGTCGGTGGTTTCCTGCCCTACCATGTAGGCCCTTCGTGGCAGGTGAGGGAACCGAGAACCTGCGTGTCTGGGGAGTCTGGAAATCAGTGCTTTGCCTCCCAGTGCATGCCCCCTGCCCTTTTTGTAAGCCTCTTGTGTCTGTGGGGAAGTGTTTACAGTTGGTCTGCTATGTGTCAGTTTCAATACAAACATATTTCATTACTTTCTCTCACATGCAGCAGGCTGGTGGTGTTTCAGGAAGATGTGGGTCATGATCCGTTTCTCTGGGACTCCTGGTCCCTGTGCAGGATTGCCTGTGGGCGCCCTAACTGCAGACACACAGTGAGGCTGGGAAGGCCAGGGAGTTTGACGGAGGGTGGGCTTCGGAACCTCCACATTGAACGAGTGGGGATGGAATTGAGAGAAAACTTCAGGGGAGCAAAGTGTGGACTTGAGTCCCCAAAGAGTTGGGGGGCGGGGCTGGGTAGACAAGATGCCTGTCCTCTGGCCTGGGACATCTCATCCTTGGTCCTGTTGATGTTTTGGGCTGGGTGGTTCTTCATTCCGCAGAATGGGCTTGGGCCTTGTGGGGTGCTGAGTGCCTCCCTGGCCTCTGCCCGCCAGATGCCTGTGGCGTGGCGAACATGTACTGCGTCCCCGTCTTTTGACGGTCGGCAGTGTCCCCAGACGTCGCCAAGTGTCCCTGGTGGAATGCAGAGCTGGTCGCTGTAGCCCAGGGCTCCCCTACTTCCATGTGTACACGGATCCTTGAGGATACGTTTGAAAGGAAGATTCAATATGGCATCTGTGGGGCGTGGCCTGAGAGTCTGCGTCTCTCTCTAGCGCTCAGGAGCTGCTGTACTACCAGCCATTCTTGGAGGGGCCAGGCTCTAGTCCACATGACGAAAAGGCCCTCACAGCCAGCGGGGCTGAGAAACTGATGTGTCTTCCGAGGCAGTTCAAGGCTCAAACCCACCTTTATGTAACTCCCTCTGGGGCAGGCACACTTTTACTCACATGAGCCTTTTAAACCTGGGTCACTAGGTCAGAACCGGAAGTCAGAGACAGAGAGCGGGAGAGGGATTCCACATATGGGAGATCTCCTTTGTTGGCTTTGGAGGTGGAGGGGGCCACGAGGCAGTGAATGTGGGCAGTCTCTAGGAGCTGACAGCAGCCCAGGGCTGATGGTGCGGAAACCGCGGGACCTCGTGAGTGTGGAAGAGGGTCCCAAGGTCCATATGAGGGTGGAGCGTGGCCACCAGGTGCTGATTTTAGCCTGCAAGAGCCTGAGCAGACGACCTGGCCTTTTGCCCATGGAGCCTGCAGCTCACATGGGGTTTCAGCTGCTTAGTGTGTTGTAATTTGCTGCACAGCAATAGGAAACTAATGTACCCTCTTTTCTAAAACAAGCCTGCATACTGTCTTCGTGACATATACTCTTCTCTCCCAGTTGTTATTTCTTCCTTGTTCATGGCCTCTGTGCACCCATTTTCCAACAAAGGACTGGGTGTCTGTCCTTCCCCAAGGCTGAGTATGGGCCCTGTTGGGATCAGGTGCTCAGCGTGTGAGTGCGCACAAGCCTCTTAGCTCCCTGGCACAGCTGCTGAGGGTTCTCTTTCCCTTGGGTATGACCCGGCCAGCTGGAGGAACGAGCAGAACGGATCCGTTCCCAGTCCCAGGTGGTCCAGGTGGAGCGGGAGAAGATGCAGATGGAGCTGAGCCACAAGAGAGCACGAGTGGAGCTGGAGCGGGCGGCTGTCACCAGCGCCAGGCGCTATGAGGTGGGTGCGGGCAGATGGGCCTGGCTGGCAGAAGCCACGAGGTGGGTGCAGGCTGCTGGCCCGTGCTTTAGGGCCTTGCATGGTGCCTGTGTGGCCATAAGGCAGGTGAGCCTCCTGGCTGGGATCCCAGGCTCTCTGCCTTTCGGTGGTTGAGGCCTGCCTTCCGAGGCCACAGACAGTAGCTGTCCTTGGTGTCCTGAGGGGACAATGCACAGGGAATGACCGCCTGCTGCGTCTGCCCGGCCAGGTGCCTGTGGGCGCTCCTCTCTGCTGGACTGCCTCTTCTCCCCACCCCTACTGAGAAATGGGGTGTAAATCCAGCAGAAATGCCAGCACCGTGGGGTGATAGGCTTGGAGAGTCACTGGGTTGCCTAGAGGTCTCAGGTCCAGGCTGGCCCCTTCTTGCTGACGTGGTTATAGGGCCTCAGAGCAAAGACATGGGGCGGTCAGTCAGTTAGGCATCTGACTTCCACTCAAATCATGAACTCATAGTTGGTGAGTTTGAGCCCCACATCGGGCTCTGTGCTGACAGCTCAGAGCCTGGAACTGCTTTGGATTCTGTGTCTCCCTCTCTCTCTGCCCCTCCTCTGCTCGCACTCTGTCTCTCTCTCTCTCAAAAATAAATTTAAACAAAGTTAAAAAATTTAAAAAAAAAAGAAGAGCTGCAGCCTTGGAGGTACCACCTGTTGTCCCTGGCTTACTCAGGACGGGCTGGGAAAGCGTGTTACCCAGAGAAGGTGCTTGGTTTTTACTTAGGGTGTAACCCCTTGCTTCCTTCGATCAATAGCAATTCACCAGGGTTTTTTATTTTTTATTATTATTTTTTTAAATATTTTTATTTATTTCTAGGAGAGAGAGAGAGAGACAGCGCGAGCAGGGGAGGGTCAGAGAGAGAGGGAGACACAGACTCCGAAAGAGGCTCCAGGCTCTGAGCTGGCAGTCAGCACAGAGCCCGACGTGGGGCTCGAACCCACGAACTGCGAGATCATGACCTGAGCGAAAGTCGGACGCTCAACCGACTAAGCCACCCAGGCGCCCCTCACCAGGGTTTTTTAATAAGTGCTGACGATTTGTGGAAATGCTGCCAGACTCTGGTAAGCGTTGGACTGGAAAGTCTCTGACCTGCCTACGCTTCCCCAGGGGTGGGTGCTGGCCCCGTTCTTGCCTTACGCAGCCTATCTGCATGCGTTCCTTGCCGTGTAAAAATAGCTGACATCTTCGAGGGCGTGATGTCAGTTGGATGTATTTGACGTGGTATTCAGGCTTCTGGCCACAGTGTGCCGTGTGGGCCCAGTAGCCCAGAAACATGGCCTGTGAGTGGGTGATGTGGCCTTGGCATTGTCCTTAAGGTGGGATGTTAACTGCTGTTCAGGGTCGTCCTGGGAGAGACAGGGAAAGGCTGTGGGAACCAAGTGCCTTATTAGGGGTGTGGAGGTGGCCCCAGGGCCATGAGATGGCAGGACTTGTGCTAGTGTGACTGCCTGGCTCTCAGGCAGAAGGCATGGGATGTGGAGCTACTGGAATTTTCCTGGGCCTTAAGTCTGCCAAGGACAGGGTCCGTCCTGTCTGCTCTGGGTCTCCAGGATCCAGCATGGGCTGTGGCACCTTATAAGCACTTTAGGATATGTTGGAATGAGTGGGGGATTGTTGCAGGGTCGGTGGAAGTCTGGTCTTGGGAGATCGAAGGGTACAGGCCGCGCTTAATCCCAGGCCCTTGCTGAGCGTGGCCTCTCAGAGGCCTTTCCCTTCCCACTGCAGACGTGGCTGCATGAGATCCGGAGCACCTGAGCCAGCAGCTCTCACATGCTTTCTCTGAGTCTTGGACACATATCCTAGGTTTTCAGGGATGCCGGTTGGGCAGTGGGTGGGAATCTGGAGCCCCTAGATGGGGACCTGCACGGACTGCCCTGTGTGCTCTTGGGACTGGTAGCCCGAATAGAGATGCTACCCCCCTGCTCCGTGGCGTGCTGCCCGGGGCCCTGTGTGGCGGAAGGGTCCTCTGGCTGTTCAGAGGCCACACTTGCAGCTCTTTATTCCTGTGAGTCCCTCAGGCAGGCCGTGTCCCTCCGCTTTCGTTCAGCTCCTCCTCGGTGCTGGGTGGGGGAGTCCCGGGGGAGCGCTTGCCTTGGGAGTGCTGGCAGAACTTGTAGGGAGCTTGTGCGGCCCCCCTTCCTGGGGAGAGGTCAGAGGTCAGCAGCATCAGGTGCCTACTGTGTGGTCCCTTCCTTTCTGGGGCTGAAGGTTAGCTCCGCGGTGGCTAATGACTCTCGGGACCCCCCAGGTCCACAGAGTGAGGGCGCTTAGTCCTGTGACTGCCTTCCCAGGGTAAAACGTGTGGCGGGGGTGAAGGTCTGCGGGGAATGGCGTGTGAGGAGGGGCCCCTCCCAGCGGGAGCAGGGCCTGCTGTGGGGGCCGCACCTGTCCCCAGGGAGTGTGAGGTGGGCTGCCCCACCCCTGCTCAATGTCCCTCTTCTGCAGCGCGAGGTGGAACGGAACCAGGAGCTCCTGACGCGCATCCGGCAGCTGCAGGAGCGTGAGGCCGAGGCGGAGGAGAAGATGAAGGAGCAGCTGGAGCGCCACAGGCTGTGCAAGCAGAGCCTGGATGCCGCTGGCCAGAAGCTTCGGGAGAAGGAGGATGGCCTGGCTGCGGCCGGCGAGGTGAGTGCTCTCCTGGGGCTGGGCTCTCCTCGGACACTGGGTGGGCGCGCTTGTGCCGGACTGGCCCCCTCAGAGTCTCCTTCCTGCGCGGGTGCCGATGCTTTCCGCGTTGTTGTGGTGATCTGAGTGCAAACGCTTGTTTTTCCCTCGTGGTTTTAAGTTAGTGAGTCAAACGCTGTCTTAGTCTTTGTAATTAGGACTTTTAATCATTGATTGGGCTGAGTTTGGTTGTGTGAGAAACGTTGCATGTCCACGCATCCTGGGATGAGCACATGCGTAATACATACGTGGCAGGGAGTACGTAGCTTTTTGTTTCTGTTGAGTTAGTTACTTAGCCGTGTTCCTAGGAGTGGGGGTTAAGGTCACTGGCAATGGCCTCTGGCTTTGCTGCTGGTTGCTGTGTTGTCCTGATGGCATTTTGAGGGTTCTGGTTTCCCGGTAGCCTTACTTGTCATGGATGGTGGTATGTTCTGGAAATACCTTTTTTCTCCCTTCCGAAGATGTAAGTGGTGCCTCTAGATTTGCATTTCTTTGATTATTAGGTCTGTTAGCAGCTGAGAACGTCTTTGAAGCCACAGCACATACGAGCTCTGTTCCTTATTCCCTCGACCCGTTGAAGGCTGTATAAATTTTAGAAGCAGAGCCCAGATGCTGCTTCTGGTGGAGACGGGACTCTCCTGACCTTCCCTGTCCCTTTGCGGTGGCGCTGCAGCCCGTGGGCGCCGGAGGAAGGAGATGAAGCGATCCCGGGGGAGGAGCAGGGATGTGGGATCGTTGGTATTCTGTCTCTGCGTGTGTTTCTACTTGATAGATCTCGGGAGGCGGGCTGCAGGTTATTTTTGCCTTGGCAACGCTGGGGAGTATGTTAAGGTTGTTTCTACATCTGTCTTCTGATGTGGATGCTGGCAGGAGAGGAGCTGTGATCGGCCTCAGGACAAGTCCCCGTGTCACCCCTGGTGTACTTGCCTGTGCTCTGTCCCGGGGCCTGCATGTGCCACAGGGGCGGGCGGCAGAGCCGGGGGTGGGGGTTGGGTGGGCGGCCACAGCCACAGACAAAGGGAAGGTTGCAGCCAGTCAGGACAGAGGACCCTGAATTGTGTTTCTGTTACTTTTTACTTCCTTGGAGAAACCCTCCCTGGTGACGGAGCCAGTTGCTGTCCTTGCACCGCGTTCTCTTACCCTGGTGCCTGGTTCGCATGCTTGTCACTGGGAGGTCCTCTTGCTGTTGGCCCGGCTTCCATGCAGCGGGGTCCCGCGTGCAGCCGGCCGTCTGATCTGTGTCCAGTGCAGTGCCTGGTGTGTGGTGTGTGTGTTTTGGGTTTGGGAAGGCTTCTCGAACGCTGTCTTCTTAGGTCAGTGTATTTTAGAACCTTCGTTTCTCTTGGGTTCTCAGGCTGGTAGGCACCACTGTAACAGAGCAGACCATGCAGATGGACAGCGTGTGGGATGTGGATGGCCTGTGTCATTCCCCCCAGAGACCCACCGACATGGGTCCTGGGTGGGGTGGGGGGGGGGCTCTTGGACCAGGCGGGTGCGGGTTCTTGGTCATCATCCTCTGTTCTAGGAGCCTAATTTACATTGGCCCCTCTGAGCTGGCTTCCCCTGGGACAGCCGCAAAGGGAGAGCAGTCAGCAGATGGCCACCAGAGGTCACTGGGTGAAGGTGTGGTCTGACGGACGGGTAGCAGTTCTGCCCCTGAATGTCCCGAGGCCCTGCCCTGGCCAGCCTCCCCAGCCTCTGCTTTCCTTCCTTACTGCTTCTGGCTGAGGGCACGGAGTCTGCTCGGTCTCCCCACGGCTCCTCTGTTATGTGGGGCCCGTGTAGCCTCGTTCTGAGGGTGGCCTCAGTCCCCCGTTTCCTACCTGTTGCCAGGGACCTGGCTGTGGCTCACACGGAGTGTTTGAGCTGGGCCGATGACATGGTGGGGTTTATCCCGGATGGAGAGACCAGGGCAGGCGTGCAGGGAGAGCCATGCAAGCATGCCAGGCATGAGTGAGGGTCCCAAGTGGTAGATGTCATGGGGCCTGGGCCTGTCTTGGGAGCAGCCCATCACCATGACCCGGTCTCTTCCCATTTGCTTGAAGAAAATCTGAGGCAGGCTGCTGGCCGGGATAGCTGGGGTTGGGGTGAGGGGTGGCACTCCTCCCAGGTTGTGTCCTGCCCTAAGAAGGCGGATGGGAGGGGCAGGCTCTTGTGGGGGCATTTGTCTGCGCGCCGCAGCCTCTGAGCTTCTCTGGCCCGTCCCGCTCTCCTCTCAGACCATCAGTGCCCTGAAGGGGAAGATCTCGGAGCTGCAGTGGAGTATGATGAACCAGGAGATGCAGGTGAAGAGCCTGGAGTCCGAGAAGCAGGAGCTCCAGGAGCAGCTGGCCTTGCAGCGCAAGTAAGCGGGCGGGCGTGCTGAGCTGGGGGTGCGGGGCAGGGGATGCTGGGGCAGGGGTGCGGGGCAGGCTGTGCTGGGAGAGAGTGGGGTGGGGCGTGCTGGGGTGGGGGGCACGGGGCAGGGAGTGCGAGGCGGAGGGTGCTGGGGTGGGGGCTCAGGCCGGGGGTGCGGGGCAGGGTGTGCTAGGCCAGGGGCTCTGCTCCTGTGCAGGGTGCAGTGAGGGCACTCTGAGGCCTGTGGGAGCCTGGGCTGAGTTGTGTGCCTGGTCGTTAACCATGTGGGAGACCACAGACAGGAGGGCCCAGGCTCCTTCTTGTGTCCTCTGTGGTCTGAGCACCCAGTGACCACACATGCCACCTGCACTGAGCCCCAAGGACCTCTAGGGGCCCTTCCAGCCTGTCCTCATCCGTAGGCTGTTGGGGGAGACACGGGCCACTGAAGACGGATGTTTGATGTGCTCTGAGAACAACAGAACAGTAATTTCTTCCCTGCTGAGAGCTTCCCTTTAAAGGCCATGTAGGGTGCCCGGAGGATGGGAGGGGCAGAGGGGAGGGGAGCTCTCTGAGGCAGAGGCAGCTCTCTGAGCAGGATAGAAGTGTGCACCAGGGTCAGAGGGCCAGTGCTCTCCCTGGGAGCTAAGCCTTTACCTTTCTGGAAGCTGTCCTAGGAGAGCTCTGGACGCTCCTGGGCAGGGCTGGGGCATGTGTAGGGGCCATTCTCTGGTGGATCCTCAGCTGTGGCTGTACCAGGGCCTGCAGCAGGCTGGGCAGGGCCGTGTAGGTGGTGTGGACTTGGCCACCCGCCCTGATACGAGGAGACCGGCCACAGTGCCCTGGGTGTGAAGTAGTGTGTATGTGTGTAGTGAGGGCAGCTCTGGCTTCTTACGCCTCTGTTTCTGCACATCACTGCCTTTCTCCGGGTAGGAAATGTCAGGAGGCTAACGAGAAGGTTCAGGAGCTTCAGGCCTGCCAGGAAGCGAGGGCCGACCAGGAGCAGAGGATCAGGGTGAGTTACTCCCTTTCAGACCCAGGCTGTGTCTGGTGGCTCTCCCAGCGGTGGTCTCAGCCCTCCTGCCTCCTCAGCAGGGCCATGTTTAGGACGCCTGGAGACACTGAGCTGCCTGAGCTCCTGTACTGTTGGCACTTGGTGCTGCGGATGCCGCATGAATGAGAGGAGAGAGCAGCTGGCCTTCTGGAGTGGGGGCGCTGTCTGCGGAGGAACTTGGGGCTCCGTACCCTAGCCCAAGGCTCCTGCCGCCCCTCCCCAGCCTGCTACCTTGATGGGCCTCCCGGCCCCTTCTGCTCTTGCACGTGCTGTCCTCGGCATCCCACCTCTGCCCTGGCCCCCTGCCCACCTCCCAGCATGTGCTCGCCTGCACGGCCTGTGTCTGCCTTTCCCCTAGAGTCCAAGTGCAGAGACTCGTGTGTCCTGTGTCACCCATCCCCGTTGCGTGACCCTGTGCTTGCCGCAGACTGGGCCCCGTTAATGTTTGCTGACTGGCTGAGCCTGTTTGGAGAACTGCCATTGATAGATGTCAGTCATCCTCAGGGTGTTGTAAAGCAAAGGCTTTGTTACGTGGAAAAGACTCACTTATTACTTGGGCACCCGCGTGGCGGGAGTGGGTCTTGTGTGGGGGACTGCGTGTGTGTGTTTTACTGATGTGTTTATTCCGGGTGCCTGTGCCACGGGTCCTCAGGCAGATGTGCACTGCGGTCCCACCCCCAAGGGCAGCGCGGTGTGGAATGTGACCCTGGCCTGTGGCCACGTCTCCCCTGGAAGTGAGCACCGAGGGCGTGGCACAGAGTGTACCTAGAGGGTGAGCCAGGGCCATGGAGGTCGACCTTGTCCTCTCTGTCCCTGGCCTCACTCAGGATTTGGAACAGAAGCTGTCCCTGCAGGAGCAGGATGCTGCGGTTGTGAAGAACATGAAGTCAGAGCTAGTGCGGCTGCCCAGAATGGAGCGGGAGCTGAAGCAGCTGCGGGAGGAGAGTGCCTGCCTGCGGTGAGACCTGGCGAGCTGGCAGGAGGGAGGTGGGTGGCGAGGCGGGCACAGGATGGGCAGGGCGGGGCGGGCTGCACTCCTTGTCCCCACTCCCCAGTCTCTGTGCATGGCCATCTGAGGGATGCGGTGTCCGGCCCTGCCAGGGAGCTGCGGGAGACCAACGGGCTGCTCAGGGAGGAGCTGGAGGGCCTGCGGCGCCGGCTGGGGCGCCAGGAGGAGATGCAGGAGAGCCTGGCCGTCCTGGAGCTGGAGAAGGAGGTGAGGCTGGGGGTGGCGGGGGCTCCCTGTGGGCTGTGCACTGTGTGGGGGACCCTGGTGGTTTCAGTCTGATGTGCTGGTCGCCCGCCTGAGAAGCGCCAGCTGCCTGGCCGGGGCGCTGGGTAGAGTGGCGGCCCCAGAATCATGTGTGGGTGCTGGCGGGCCAGCCCGCAGTGGGGAGACTCTGCTGGTCACGGACCCGTCATGAGGGTGGGGGGTGCTGAGGCGGATGTCCTGTGGGGAGGACCCCACCCCCTGCTGCAGGGGTGTGGGAGACGGAGGAGGGGGAGGGTCTCCAGCAGCTGGAGGGGGCCAGAATGGGTTCTTCCCCAGAGCATTGGGGAGTTGCTGTGAGCGTGCCTGCTGTGCTCCTACCACCTGGCAGATGGGGGTGGTAGTGTGCGCCCTGACACAGACTAGGTCCCGCTCACAGATGCGGCTGGCCACCAGGGCTCCATTCCCTCGCTTTGCGTCTGCTGTAGGGCCACACAGGGCATTTGTGGGACGCTCTTGGCTACCTGGCATGAGATGTGCCACCGAAAGCATCCTGCTTCTCTGTTGGGCACATGACTGGGCACGAGGTTGTCTTACCCTGCATGCACACAGGACACCAGCACGCTGCCCCCCGGCCTCCAGCCCCTGGCTTTGCTGTCCTTCTGCACGGCTGCCCCCCTCCACCCTGGCTCACTCCCTGCCGCCTCACCTATGAGCCGTGCAGCCCTGCATCGTTTCCTGGGTGGTACGAGCCTGCTGGCAGCAGTCCTGCAGTTGGTCACAGTGGTGGCCTGTGGCCTCGCGGGTGGGAGCCAAGGCACTCCTCACAGGGGCTAGCTTACGTGTGAGCTCGGCCTGCAGACACAGCTCCGCGTGGGGCGGTGTTTCCTCTAGATGGCGTGAGGCTGGGCAAGATTCTGTCTCTATAGTCGCACTGCCTCGTGTGAAATCCAGCCGCGGATGCTCACTGGCTGTGTGACCCTGGGCAAGTTACCTAACCTCTGTCCACCTGTATGCCGAGGAGCAACAGGCCTTGCAGGGTTGTGAGGGCCAGTAAATTCATGTCGAGTGCTTCCCTGGTGCCTGGCATCGGCTTTAACGACAGAGTCGTTACCCAGCCCGCTCCCGCCACATGGTAGAGGCCACTCGAGGGACCAGGGGAGTGTGGTGATGCCAGCACTGTGCTTGGCCTGGGAGAAGGGGAGGGAGGCCGGACAAAGGCACATGCTCCCTGCCCTCAGGTACTTCCCTTCCAGATGGGGAAGGAGACCCTGATGTGGGGGTGGGGTTTGCGTGGAGCAGCGTGGGGAAGGCAGGGTCAGACAGCCTTGTACGCAGCACCAGGTGGGGGCATCCCCACCTTCTCCCATTCTCCCTGTGGGGCCACATCCGCTGCGGACACTTCGGCGCTACGGCTGAGTGCGTCTGCCCTGGGGCCGGTGTCCCATGGAGTCCCTGGAACACGGGAGGGGTGCGGGGTCCTGCGGATTCAGCAGCTGATCTGCCCCAGGGCCACCCGCCCCACACTCAGCCTGCTGAGACACCATCCTGAGTCCGCGGGCTGTGGGCCGCATGCTCGTAGTCAGTGGAAAGCTATCTGCTCCCAGGCGTTTAGCTCAGAGACGAGAGCAGGCTCTTCTGAGGGGTCAGGGAGACTTGACCTCCTCCTCGTCACCACTCCCTCCGTGTGAGGCTGTGTGGCCCGGGGAGCAATGTGGGGTTGCGGGGAAGAAGGGCTGCCTGAGGCAGTGGGGAGACACGGGGTCATGGTGCCCTCAGTGTTCGCCTCCTTGTCTTGCAGAGGCTGCTGGCGAAGCTGCAGAGCTGGGAGCGGCTGGAGGAGACCACGGGCTTGAGCATCAGGTAGGCGGAGGGCGCCAAAGCCTCTGGGTGCCTGAGGCAAGTTGGCGCCCTCGGTGGTGCGGTCCTCTCTCTCCGGCACCCCCGCCAGTCGGCGCGACCCTCCTGGGCACCCCAGGCAGGTGGTGCGGCCTTGTCTCCCTGGCACCCCCGATATGACCTTCTCTCCCTGGCACCCCTGGCGGTCGGCACGGCCCTGCCTCCCGGCATCCCTCTGCGGTCAGCACAGCCCTCTCTCTCTGGCGCCCCTGGCTGAGGTACTGCTAGAGGCTGCCAGGGAGCTTGTGCTGCAGCCTCTTGGGTTTGATGCTGTGTTTTCCCTGCGGGAGGGAAGTGGAATGAGGAGACTGTCCCTGCCCAAGTCCTAACGTCCTATAAGACTGGATGGCAGTGGGGTGGCAGGTGTTTGGTTGCACTGCAGTGGTGGCTTCTGTCAAAGGACTTTCTCGCATCTACTGAGGGAGCAGTTGCTGTTGGGGGTGAGCTGATCCTTTCAGGCAGACGGGAGGGCAGAGACGACTGAACTGTTCGGTGAGAGGGAAGCACCGTCGTCCCCATCAGGCCCCTGCAGCAGCCTTGGCTTGCGTGTGCCGGCAGGGGAGCGGCAGGGCAGTAGCAGAGCAGTGGTGGGGGCAGCTGGGCGGTGAGCTGGCGCCTTCTTCTCGGATGGCCCAGGTGGGCACCTTTCTACCGCTTCCTGCCCCCCGTCCTGGAGGCCACTGCCCTCTTTCTCCAGCATCGCCGCCTGTCCCTCGGCCCCTGGGACCCTGGGCCCCCCTGCGGACGGTCTCTTCCCGACAGCTCTGGGGGAGCTGGATCGTCTGGGTTGGTCTTTGGAGCTGCGATACTTCGGAGCCTCTTGTTTTGTCAGCTTGTGCAACTTTAAGACCGTAGCTCCCGGTGGTCTTTCCTGTGGCTTTTGCAAACTGGGCCGAGAATGAGAGCCTTCTTTAAGGAGCCGTCCTGGAATCACACTGTGAGAGTGCTGGTTCTGGAGCCTGCAGCCGTTCCCAGCAGCCGTAGTGACTCCGCATGCATCCCTTGGAAACGCCTCTGTGTCCTCTCTGCGCCTGGCTGAGTCACAGAGGACAGATGATGCTGCCGTCCTCTCCTGAGCTACACCTGCTGCCGGACTCTTGGAGGGCTGGCCTGGTGGGGCCTCAGTGCTCTCTGCTTCCTCCTCCTGCTCTTGGGGCTTAGTGACTCACCCAAAAGCTTCCCTCCGGCACCCGGGGGGCCTGTCAGAAGAGAAACTTCTGTGACTTCTTGTGTGGGAGATCAGAGGTCCACTCGTGCCCGGTCAGACCAGCTGCCGGAGTGTCTCATCGCCCAGCGTGTGCCACAAAGCCCTCGACATCAGTCAGGCGGGGCTGGTGCACAGCTGGTGGCTCCTCTGGCCCTTTGATCTCACTTCCAAACCAGAGGGCCTCCCTGAGTGTGGCTGGCACACGGGGGGCAGAGGTCTGCGGGCTGGCCGCCAGCTGGGGTGTGGCTTCTGCCTGGTCACGTGCATGTGTGGCCTGTGTTCACTGGGCAGCCAGGCCCTGGGGAGGAAGGGGGGGGTGTCGAGGGCTCATCAGGTCTGTGCCTGGCCCCGGGCCCGTGCTCTCATCTCACTGGGAATGTGGCACGTGCCTCAGTGTGTGTGGAGGCTGACACGGTCATGTGCCACAGAGTGGTGCCGGCGTCCCTCCCAAGTGGCTGGAGGCTTCTGGGCAGGCAGGCGCAGTGTCCTCGTGGCCCTGGAGGGGGGCAGGTTTCCTTTCACGCGCTTTGTGGTCACCCTGTGCCTGGCCACCTGCAGGGGCCCCGGGCGAACCTCAGCCACCCCTCTTCACCCTTCCTGTCCACAGCAGGGTGCCTGGACAGCTCCACCTCCAGTGACTCGTGTCCTTCGGAGGTGGGTTCGTGTGTCCTGTGATAGTCGGTGGGCCGCAGGCATGTGTGTTGGTACAAATGCGGACTCCCCAGGCCCGGGGGGTCAGCCTTTCCAAGACCGGGCTTGACCACGAATGCTACAAGGAGGGTTTTGGTCATCCTCTTTTGTTAGGTTTTGGGGAGTTGGGCATCCGTGAGCAGGGAGGGAGGCCTTTTGGAGCCTACGTCTGGTGGCATTGGACCTGGAGTGGGAGATGGGTAGAGGGTGATAGGGCACAGGGAGAATTTGGAGTCCCTGCAGGAGGGATATGGGAGGGAGTGCTGAGACCACTGTCTGGGTGGCCGGGGTGGGTCTGCTTGGAGCGGGTGTAGGGTGGATGTCCTCTGTCACCATCACTGTGGCCCGTGCAGGAGGGGGAGGCGGCACTGTCAGACCTCAGGAGCAGTGCCTAAATACCAGTTTGGCCCCCGCTTGGCCCTCAGGATTGTGGGGCTGTCTTGTGCCTCATTTTGCTCATCTGTAAGTGGAAGGACTTTTCTAGAATATTGGTTTCTTATCATGGAAGTCAGACTTTCTCCCCGTGAAACATGTTTTCATGCTGGTCCTGGGGCCTGCTGCCCTATACCATATTTTCAGTCCAGCAGATACCCTGGAGGCAGGAGCTGGAGGGGTAGGGAGGGCCTTTTGACCTCGCGGGCTTCATTCTCCTGGCTTTTAGGTTGAGGCTTTGCTGCAACTTTGGGAATTGAGGCACTTGCTTGGGGTGTGTCCTGACCCGGAGGCCCCAGCCTTGTCCTGGGTCTCCTGGGCTTTGAGGGCTGCCGCCACTAGGTGGCGCCTCCTGCCCCGTGATCCTGCTCCCTGCACTTTGAGAGCCTCTGGCCTGTTGTTGGTCCCCACCTTGCAGGCCTCACCTACTAGGCCAGGGCCTGGAGGGGCGGGGGCATGAGGGCTCTGTGGCCTTACAGCCCCGGGCTCCTCCACTGTTGACTGTCCCACACCTATCCTGTTATTGCCCAGCCTATGATCCTGATACGCTTGGTGCCTATGAGCTTCTTGTGTCTTAGCCCAGATGTTCTTTGCATGGGCTGTTCTCTGGGTATAAGGCTGTGGCTTTTCACAGATTCTTGAGGGCCCTGTGGCCTTGCAAAGGTTGGGAACAGAGATCAGGTCTAACATCTGGAGACACCAACCCCCGGGGTTCACACGGCATGACCGTTGTCACCTTTGTCCCAGTCTGAGATTTCTTACATCCCGAGGAGCCCAGAGGTGTCAGGGAGCTGGTTAGGTGAGCTGGCCAGGGCGGGTCCGGCAGCGGGATCCTGATTCTGTAGGGATGCCCGGTGGCTGCATCTGCCTGTCTACCTGGACATTGCCGGACCCCTGTCTCCAGCACATGGGTCCTTTGGGTTGGAGGCAGGTGGGCCTCAGGACTTGGAGAGTCCTGAGTAGGAAGGAATGCTGCACCATGCTGAGTGGGGCCTGCGTACAGGAGAGAGGGCACGTGAGTGTGGTGCCTGCGTGTCCCCGTCCCAGGCTAGTGAGAGCCCAGTGAGGGGCTCAGCAGCAGCGCACAGATTGCGCCGGCGTGTGAGGGCGGTGACATGCTGAGCCTTGTTCAGGGAGTACGACCCAGCGAAAGGGTTTGAAGGTGCTAAAGTTGGACACCAAGAGACACTCTGTGTCTGTGTCAGCCTGGAGGTGACTGTCCAGGGCACTGCAGAAGGACTAACAGAGAGGCTGGAGGGAAAATGGAGCAAAAAGGAGTGCCTGCAGCAATATACGGGCCCTTTGGGTCGTTCGCTGTTCTAATAGATTAGAGGGGAAAACACGATCTTCTCAATAGATGTGGGAGTATTTGTGGGAACTCAGCACCCACACATGATTGAAGCCTTCAAGCGAAGTAGGAGTGGAAGGTTCCCCCTCCCCAAGATGTGGCACCTGCTGTCCCTGCGGCTACCATGCTGTCTCCCCATTCCTCGTCTGCGGCGGTGGCCGTGTGGCCAGCGTGGGTGGGAGTGAGGAGGAAGTAAAGCTGCGTCTGGTGGGAGACAGCCCGGTCGTCCCCACAGGAAGTCTCAAGGAGTCTATAAGGAGCCACTGGGACTAGGATGCTCACAGGTTCACAGTTACAAGGACAATACTCACGAGTAGACTTCCTGTGTACCAGTGGCCAACAGTTTTAAGTACACACCCGTCAGTCACATCAGAAACGTGAGGATAAATGCAACGGGAGTCTGCGTGCTGTAAAGTAGAAGCTCTTTCTGGGGGGACTAGAAGTCACCTGGTAGTGACATGAGTGCAGAGCAGTCCCTTGCTCACGGATTGCAGGAGTCTGTGGCGGTGGCGTGTCAGTTTGCTAAAATTCATCCTCACATCCAAGTGCGGTCCCAGCCAGCATCCCAGCAGGCCTTTTGGTAGAAGCCAACAAACTGCTTCTAAGGTTTCTTTAGAGATGATAAGCATCTAGAAGGGCCACACTTGTTTTTGAAAAAAATTCAGGGGCTTACGAAGGTTAATTTCCAGACACAGTGTAAACCATATGGATCAGTGTGTGAATGGCATAAAGATAGACATGTATGTTGACGGAAAAGGCTAGAAGGTTCAGGAATGACCCGAGTATGGAATCTATTGGTTTCCACTGAAGGTGACAAGATAATTGAGTGGGAAAGAGTCCGTCTTCCGCAGACGGCGCTGACGCAGGGGGATGTCTGTATGGACACATGCAGATCCTTGTCCCTGACTGTTCCAGCATTGAACCCGTGGGGCATGGACCTAACTTGGGGTGAACACCAAGGCTTCTGGATACTTAGGACACAAAAGTGCAAACCAAAGTTGAAAAAAAAATGGGTAACTTAGAGTTCCCCAGAATGAAAACCACTTTGGTCTTGAAAAGACTCAGTGAAGATGAAGAAGAGGCAAACCCTGGCCAGGAGAGCATCCTTTTGATGCGAGATAGGTTGATGGAAGCCCACAGTCAGATTTTGTTTAAAAGCTGGGCAGAAGACAAACAGATAACTGTGGAAAAGGGTCCACAGATGTGAATGAGGATGGGACTGACGCTCTGCATTTGTGGTTCGAGGGGCACTGGGACACTGCGCCTGGCCCCGTGAAATGGCTGGGA